CTGCTGCTGTAAGAAGGCACCCCTGGACACCGAGTCCACCTGAGCTTCCAAGGTCAGACCGGGGTCAAGGAGCACCCCCAAGCTGCAGACCCTGTCCTTTAGGAGAAGTGTAATCCCATCAAAGGCAGGGAAATGGCCCTTTAATAATAATAATAATAATAATAATAATAATAATAATAATAATAATAATAATAATAATAATAATAATAATAATAATATATTGTCATTGTAAGCATATACACATACAACGAAATTTAACCTATCTGGTGGGGCACCTACCAGCAGCACTTCAGACTTGTCTGGATTGAGCCTCAGTTTATTGACCCTCATCCAGACCATTATCGAGTCCAGGCATGAGTTCAGAACGGTGATTGCCACACCTGGATTGGTAGAGAATGAGAGGTAGAGCTGGGTGTCGTCAGCATATTGCTGACTTCTCAGCCCAAACTCCTAACGACCTCCCCCAGCGGGGGGACTACATTTTATCTGTAGTTTGCATTCATAATCCTGTCATTCTATTCATCCAAAAGATGCAAGGAATGTAAAACAAGGGGGGGGGTAGCTGTATGGAATGGGAGACTACTACCTTGTTTAACAAACAATCTAATACCTGCCTGACTTTTCCCATTGGACAGTTATTGGCTTTTAGGAATGATATTTATCTGAATAGGAAGAACTTCTGTCAAGGCCCTCTCCTTCTCAATGCAGTTTGATGTCCAATTGTCCTTCCTTCCTTCCTGTTTTGGTAAGGAAAAATGCATTTGATACCTTTGAATAAAAAATGACTATCCCAAAGTCATTTAATCTGGAGCAACTTTTTTTTAAAAAAATCTTCATAATTATTTCAAGAGGAGTCTTTGGTGTGAAGGTGTGTCTTTCAGAAGTGTACGACACAAATAACAGTTGCTGAAGTATATTAACATGATTAGTTAGGAGTGTGTTTTGTTTTCAATGGCTTTAACCATTGCAGTCTCCCTCCTGCCCCAACATTGGCCAGGGTGGACCCTAGAGTTCTAAGCCTGGAATAGCAGCAACAACCCAGAGCCATCTCTGACCAAAGCAAAAGCACTTGTTTTCTACCTATCTGTCCCTTAGACCAGTGCTGGAGCTCAGTGCAGGGCAACCTGAACATTGTTACTTTTCTATTGCAGCTCTAGAAGATTCCGAGAGGCCAGCACAAGTGCTGACTTAACCCATTAGTGTGTATTCATGGAGAATCCACTTGAAGAACCATGTTTACAGGTAAGTAACCTGTCCTTTTCTACCTATCTGTCCCTTAGACCAGTACTGGAGTCTGAACACGTGGTCCTTCCATCACTGCTAGATTGCAGCTGTCATTAGTCCTAGCCAACATGGCCAATGATAAGGGAATAATGGGACTTGCAGTCCAACAACCTCTGGAGGGCCACAAGTTGCCCATCCTTTCTTTAGGCAGCAGAGGACAGCATAGCTCTAAGCCATTTATGTGTCAGTGGAATGGTCTCTTTGGCCAACAAACCCTCTCCAAATCTCAACTGGGGGAAAAAAGGGAGAAAGGAGAAAGACAGGATCAAAAATGTAGAAATTACTCAGTTTACAGTATCACCAGATAGTCAAAGAGGTGGCAATATGGAATCATATTCCATATTTTCTAGAAGCTAAAATAATGAAACTGAGGCTGTTGTACTTTGGGTAGACTATGAGAAAACAAGAAGAGACAAGAATGAAAGGAAAAGTTGAAGGCAGCAGGAAAACCAAATACGACATGGATGGACTCCATAAAGGGAGCCACGACTCAGCTGAGCAGAGCTGTTAATGATAGGACATTCTGGAGGTCACTCATACTGTCACCATAAGTCAGGCAATCTGTTGGTGTGTAACAAAACAACAACAACCTTCCATGTTTATTATATTTTGGAGGGGCAGGAATGGTTGCCCAATGCATTCAACCGATCAAGTAAATTGGTTGGGCAAAAGACCTTCTGATCGCCCTTTGGAGCTAGGAGAAGTGGATAAAAGCTTGTTAGTAAGGAGATTGCTCCACCTCCAGCAGGTAAGTTAACATGTCAAAGGAAGCTCTCCAGTCGTGTATCCTGCAGTAGAAGGGAAACTACCTTGCTTCTGTCAGCATGGAGCAGGGGTCTCTGAACTATGGCCCACAGGCCACATGCAGCCCACCTTGCCTTTTTATCTGGCCCAGGCATAGGAAGAAGAGGGAAAGGGGACCGAAG